CACTGACAATCCTGGAACAAAGGTACCCCTCACAGTGCCCTTCTTTGTTCCTCTTTGCTCCTCGTCTCTCTCTGAGGATCTACTCACCTGGGGCAGAGGAGAGCAATTGGTGGCCTCTGGGTCCTGGAGGCTCCCTATGAGAAACACAGCCCTGTTCCTCACCTGGGCCCCTTCGCAGCCCAACCTTGACACCTGGCAGTGGATTTGGGCCTAGCGATGATGTTGTCCTGGGCGATCCCTTGCCTTCCCTCCCCTGCCCTCTAGCCTTGCCAGCTGCCCGAAGCCTCCCAGCCCTCCCACACCCTGACCCTTTTCCCACAATCCCCAGGCCTGGCTGCCGGATGAGCCCCTTACTGCATTCCTCGTGTCTGGTTACTTTGAGAGGTGTCTCTTCCTGTTGGGTCTGACCTGGGGGCCCCTTGATTTGGCCCCCTAGCCTGCTCCCCTCTGTGCCTTTTGTGCCGCCCTTTCTTTCCTCATTTTAGCGACCACCGATTGGTCTCCTTCCCCTAGTGCTTTTTCCTGGAGCACGGGCCTCCTGCTCATTGGTTCCCTAATATCTTTTGGTGGGGTCAGTCCCTTGCCTGGGCTCCTTAGTTGGGTCCTGGTTCTTGCCCCTCTCTGCACCCACCACGACCCCCCACTGTGCCCTCCCATCGCACTCCTCCTGGCCTCCTTCCCTTGCCAGGCCCCCTTGGCCTTGTCCCTGGCCCTTGATTCTCATCTGGTCCAGAGCTTCTGATGGGAAACAAAGCCCAGCTCCTGGCCTGGGCCCCTTGCTCTCCCTGGGTGCTTGGTCCTGCTCCAGGAACCCTGAAACCTGGCCTGAGCCCCGTGCCCAAGCTCTGGCCCTTGACTCTCCACTCCCTGGCCTGGCTCCTCTCTTGAGCCTCTGGGGGCCCTTCTTGCTCCGTGCTTCCCTGGGCTTGGACTGCGTGCACCCCCTTGCTGGGGCCCCTTCCCCGCTTCCCTTGGCTTCCCTGCACCTCAGTACCCTAGTGCTACCTACCTGTTCGGCCCCGGCACTTCCCTGCTCTCCCCTGGCCTGGGCCCTTCTCTAGGTCCCAGCCTGGGTTCCCTTCTGGAGTCCTGGTCTATATCTCACCAACACCCTTCCTCTGCCCCTTCACGCTGTGCCCTCCTTCAGCCCTTCTGTTGTCCCTGTCCCCGCCGGACACCTTTTCCAGATCCCTTTCCCAAGATGCTCACCAGGGCCAGGGGACTGGAACTGGGCATTTGGCCCTGTGACCTCCCTTGGGAAAAGGGAGCTCTGCCCCTTGCCTGGGCCCTTTGGCCTCCCTCAGCCCTGAACCCTGACACCTGGCAGTGGTCCTGGGCCTCCAGCCTTCCTCCTCCTGCACCCCCCCTCCCTTTCTCCCCTCCCTCCCCTCCCCAGCCCTGTCCCTTTACATGCACCAGCCCCAGCACTCGCAGTTAGCTCTCCACTCCTGCACCTGGCTCCTTGCCTGAGCCACTAGCTGCCCTTCTTGAGGACCCTATCCCTGTTTCTTGATTTCAGGCCCCTTTTTCTGGCCCCCTCCTGTGTCTCTTTTCTGTTCCCCTTGTGCTGTGGTATCCTGGCACTGCCTAGACCCTCCGTTTCCCTGCTTCTCCCTATCTTGGACTCCTCGAATGGCTCCTGAATCCCCTCTGACCCTCCCCAAGTCCGCATGCCAGGAATCCCCTCACAGTGTCATCTTTTGTTCCTCCTTTGGTCCAGGCCCCTCTCTGAGGATCTACTCACCTGGGACACAGGAGTGCAATTGGCTGGCCTCTGTGCCCTAAATGCTTTCTAGGGGAAACACAGCCCTGCCCCTGCCCTGGGTCCCCTTAGTTGCCAGAACCTTGACAACTGGCAGTGGACGTGGGACTTGTGCAGACCTAGCCCTGAGTGATCCCCTCTCTTCCCCCCCTTCCTTCTTGGCCTTGTTCGCTGCTGCTACCTCAAATCAGCCCTCCCTAACACTGAGCTTTGAGTTCCAGTCTCCAGGCCAGGCTGCTCGCCTGAGCCCCTGACTGTGTTCCTCCTGTCCTGGGGCGTAGCGTGGCATTGCTTCCTGTTGGGTCTGACCTAGGGGCCCCTTGCTTGGGCCCCCTATGTGCTCCCCTTGGTGCCCCTTGCACCTCCCTCTGTCTCCTGCTCCTGGTGCAGCCTCTTTCTCCCCTTCCCCTGTGCTTTCACCTGGCACCCACAGGTTTCCTGCTCCTTGGGTGTCTCTTCCTAGGAAGAGAAATCAGGTTGGTCCCTTGCCTGGGCTCCTGGCCTGGGTCCTGGCTGTCTGGCCCTTTTCCTTACCCACTGCGACCCCCAGCCGTGCATTCCCATGGCCCTCCTCCTGGCCCCCTTTCCTTTCCAGGCCCCATTTCTGGGTCCCTAGTTCTGGATTCCCACCTGGGCCAGGGCTCCTTATGGGAAACACAGGGCTGCTTCTCGCCTGGTCCCCTTGATCTCCCTGGGCCCTTGGTCCTGCACCCGGAACCCTGATACCTGGCAGTGTCCCTGGGCCTGGAGCCTGGGTCCCCACTGCCAGATCCCTGCCTTCCCTCCCCAGCCTTGTCCACTTTCCTGAGCCCTTTGGCAGTGGAGTACTGAACACAGTCGGCTGAACTTGGGCTTGTGCTACAATTTTGTTGTAGAATCAGCTGTGAGGCAAGCCACTCAGTAAGTGAAGTAGTGGACAGGTTCAGGGGAAGCGGTAATTAGAATACAGTGGAATTGGATGGTTGTTGCTAGTGTTATAAAAATTAATTTGATAAAGGAAATGAGAGGCTGCAATGATTAATCACCAACTTAGGGCTAAGTGTGAAGTCAGAGGGCCTGTGTTACTTTATAACAAGACTCTCCTCTCCTGAAGCCAGAGGCCGAAATAAGGCCAGAATCAAACTGAGGGCTTGATCCTAACGCCAGTGGAGCTGCATAGAGGACTGAATTTCCCTCTCTGTTGTGTGGTGTCAGAGGTTTCAGTCCATAGCAAGTCTGCTCTGCCAAGCTATGCCAAGGTCAGATCCCCAGTTGGGAAGGAGTGAGATTCTGAGACTTGGACGGAGGACATTTGTGATCAAACACCACAAACCTTGAATCTCCAGACTGTCCTGAACCCTCTGGCTCACTCCTCCCTATTAAAGCTAATTAATGCTGCTGTTTTGCTCTAAGACAAGACAGAAGGCTTTGTCTTGTAAGAAGTCGCTTGTTCCCCACTCAGGATCTATCCTGATTCCAGTCCTGGATATTACACCAGTAAGTAGAACAAGGATCAGCCATTGTAACCTCCAAGCCATTCAGCCTGCAGTCTGTTTTTGGAAAGAAAGTTTTACTGGAATACTAACATCACAACATTCAACAACATATCATCTCTGCCTGCCATCATGCTACTTTGGAAGAATTGAGTAATTGCAGTGGAGTCCATGTGGTTCACAAAACCTGAACCTTACTAGCTGGCTCTTTATAGGACACATTTGCAGACCAATGAACTAGATCAAGTCATAGTAAAACCTGACAGGAATAGTGCTGATTCTGTTTGGGAAAGAAAGGGAATTTACACAGAAGCTGAAGACTTAGTCCACAAATCCTAGCAGGAGTGGAAGAATGTATAGAGGATTGAATGCTGAACGGCCTGTGAGTTAACGTTCTGCTGCTGTGACAAAGTATCTGAGAAAATTAACAAAAGGAGGAAATATTATCCCGTTGTGTGGTGTCAAAGGTTTCAGTCCATAGTCACTTGGCGACGTTGTTGTGGGCTGTGGTGAAGTAGAACATCATGGTGGGCCACATGCAGCGGGGCAGACATGCTCGCTTCATGGCAGGGGAAACAGAGGGTTGGGGAGAGGCCAAGGAACAAGATACATCCTTTCCAGGGCACACCCCAGTGATGTGCTTCCTCTAATTATGAGGCCGCTCCTACAGTTTCCATCACCTCCGAGTCATCAATTCACATATGAACCCATCAATATATTAATACATGGATCAAATCAGAATCCTTGTAATCTAATCACTTCTCAAAAACCCCACCTCTGAAAATTGCTACATTGAGGGTTCAGGCCTTCAACTTGTGAACATTTGGGGGACATTTCAGATGCAAACTATAACAGTCTGGATGGAATATACAGTTGGATGCTGGAGTGTATCTGCCTGGAGCACTCTTCTGAGATAGAGGACTCAGTACCCTGCTTCATGGACTCTTGGAGTATCTCGACTAACTTTTCTTTTTTAGGAAAGCGATGCTCAAATTAAGTGAAGGAGATATGAAGAAATGCCTCAGCAGACAGTGACCAAAGAGATCAAAAGGCTCAGAGAAGAGGCCATGCTGGAGTTAATGTTCTGTGTAATAGGCAAGAAACAAGGTCATGGGATTTTTAGGGAAACCCGGAAGACAGACCATTTATCAAAGCCGTAAGGAATGAGCTGGTAAGAGGGGCACTGGAGCACTGAGCAACTCAACGGTGACTGTTCCTTGTGGGGCAGGGCTGATGCTATCGATGACGCTGTTATAGAACTGGGCTCCTGAAAAGCTATGGGGATAGTAAGAGCCGAGGTTTATTGAGGCCAACTGGTAGAACTTAGGTGCCAGAAGCAAGAACCATACAATTATTATAATGAGTGCCAAGTTCGAAGTGACAGCTAGGGGACCTCACTCATAGAGAGCTATGTCGGTGATTCCAGTAGTTACCCTTTATCCATGGTGGATACATTCCAAGATCCCTTGTAGATGACTGAAAACATGGATAGTACTGAACTCTGTATACACTATGTTTTTCCTGTACATCTACATACCATGAAAAACTTAAAGAGATTAATAGCAATAACTAACAACAAAATAGAAGAATTTTAACAACAGACTCTAATAAACGGTAAATATTGTCTCTCTCTCTCACACAAAATATCTTGTTTTATCCAACTCACCCCTTTTGTGATGATGTGAGATGATAAAATGCTTGTGTGATGACATGAGGTGAGGTGAATGATATATGTATTGTGATGTAGCATTTGGTACTGTGTAAGGGTTACTTGAACACAAGTACTGCAGTACCACAATGGTCGATTGGATAAGGAAGATGGCTACTAAGTAACTAACCAGCAGATAGCACATAGAGCATGGATACCTTGGACTAAGGGGTAATTTATGTCCCAGTGGGACAGAACAGAATGGTGTGATTTTATCATGCTACTCAGAATTCTGTATAATTTTAAACTCATGAATTGTTCATTTCTGAAATTTTCTATTATTTTTAGACTTTAGGTGACCATAGATAACTGAAACCACAGAAAGTGAAACCATAGATAATGAGGGACTATTGTACTAGAACATGGTGCTCTTAGGAGCAAGGTAGAGTGACCGATGGCAAGGGTAATGCTTATGCACCAGTGAAAGGTCTTGGCCGATTTCCAGAGTTAAGCCAGTCCTTTACCCAGAACCTGCTGGATGAATGAGGAACTGGTCTGAGGAAGGATCTTGCTATACCATAACAAGTGTTTATGATAATAACTTCTCCAAAAGGATGTATGGCCATTTACTTAGGTATCTGGGAAAAGAGGGATTCCATGATTCCCAAGATTCTACCAAGATTCTTCAGAATGTCAAACTCCATTGATATTTAGGGACTTTTATGCTTTATCATGGCCCTTTGTTAAAGTGTAGGCTTGTGAGATACAGGTAATAAGAAATTCAGACCCGAAATCTATTTCATAATGAGTTCTTTGACTCCACGGATCCATCTGGTGATCATTTGTTGGGTTTCTGAACATATAATTCCAAATGGACATCCGTAGTAGTTGGCACAATCCCCTCATTAGTTCTTTAGTTTTAAGAGTGAATTCCTGTAGTAGAGAAACCCATTGAAGCCTCTCAAGTGTTTCTTTTATGACAAGAAAACATGTAACAACCAATATCATCTGCAGGAGGAATGGCAGAGAAACCTGCCAATCTAAGTATACTCAATACTCAGGGGCAGTGGTCCCCAAAATGTACCTACTTAATTTACCATTCCAACCCCTTTGCAACTGGAGGTCCTACAATTTGGAACAATTGCAAATAATTAGGAACCCGAAGAGAAAAACTACAGAATGGGAGAAATCTTCGCTAGCTATTCTTCTGACAGAGGATTGATATTTAGATTACATAAAGAACTCAAAAAAATTTACACCAAAAAAGAAAAAAAATACATAAATAACTAAAAAATATTCACACCAAAAAAACCCCTAATAAATAACTGGGCAAATGAATTAGACACTTTTCAAAAGAAGAAATACAATATTCCTATAGCTATGGGATCCACTGTTCTTATCATGTACATAACCACCCAGACGCTATCTGCCCTCTGGAGATTTTTGACAACACAGCTAATGTGCCAAACTGGAGGTGAGATCTTGTAAGGATTGAGTAACATTAAATCAAGGCCTGTTATTTACTCCTATATCCACAATATATGAAATTGATGGTCCCATAAAACAAGGATTGGAGGTAGGCTTAGCACCACTCGCTAGTACTCTCAATGACCTATTTGGGGAGTTTGTGCTTCTTTGTTCTTGCACATTTAGCCTCTTGGATTCTGGTCCCCAGAGCGGGAGTGTTCCTATTAAGTAACACAGAGAGAATTCCATTAAACTTAAGGCCATAGTTAATCACATAGTTGAAACTACAGCCATTCAGGTGATTATCTGGCTTGGTTCTTGGTACTTTCTTGCCAAATTCTGATGGTAAATGAGCAAGTATGGTAGCTACAGTTGATCCATAGCTTGATCTTGACCTTACCACTACAATCATGGTTACTCATGGCTCAGGGCCCTCCAGATGAGAATCTGGGTCACTACACCCAACTGAGCAGCAGAGATGTTTAAATGTCTGTGGGAATCTAAAGAGGGGGGTTAGGAAAAAGGGATATCATGATACCAGATATAGTTGCAAGGACTGTGATTTGTCCAAATAACCTTCCTCTTATAAGTTTTCACCAAAAAAGAGATCACCAGAATCACATGGAGCTATCCTTAGATGGCATGAACTTACTGTATGAAGGCATTAGATCTGGGCATCTCAAGGGGTGGACTGAAATAGTAGGGGAGGTACACTCCTCAGATCTTCCCTTCAGAACCAAAGCATCCACTTCCAAGCAGTCAGATGAGTACGGCAAAGAGACTTATCAGTGAGGCTTACACAGGAATGGTTCTTGGCCAAAGGGAGCTACCCCATCCAAGGTGACAGCCCATTTCCACTGGTGTCCTAAGGTGAGTTTATGTGAGGCTACAAAGGCCTGACCCCTTGCCTTGATTAGGAACTGAAAGGCCTCTTCTGCTGTACTCTCCCTGTGGAGTTGCCCAGGCTTCTTGTCATCTCCTCACAGTTCCACATCTCCCTCTGTCTGCTTCCCCCCAAGATGACATTTCTGAGAGTGCTCCCAGAAGAAGCTCCTGCATGTGACCATCCATCTCAGATGGAACCTGACCTAAGACTGGGCATTGATATAAGCATCTTATAAATGCCTTTATTTTCCCCAATTGTTGTAACTCTGGGGTTAAAAACAAACCAGTGATAAAGAATAAATAATTTTTCTTTCACAAACTGAAAGTTAAAATATCTAGTAGTATCATTCTGGGGAAAACATTTGGTTGACAAGAAAGGGCCTTGTTTCTTATGGGCAGGTTTCTCCACTGAGCGTCTTTCCATCAGTGAGCTTTTGGTATTTAAATTATTTATTTTTAAATCAAGTTCTAATCCATTGTTTAGATGTAAGCTGCTGAAGTATTTTTAAAATGTGGTATGTTTTTAAAATTAGATGTCCATCTGTCATTATATGGAATGTGTGTGGGCATACAGGGAATGGACTTATTTTTAACCTCTGAATTCTATTAGGCTGCTTAACTATATCACCACAAAAGAAGTGGCATTAGCAGTGTTTCTTCCCTTCACTCACAATTAATTTTGCTTTTTCTTTGTGATCCATGGCATCAGATCTTTGAAAAGCCAAATCATCATCACTCTAGCCTCTTTTAAAAAATGATTGTGGAAAATTGATCTGAAGAATTTATGTCCTCTTTCCATCTCCAAATAATTTCTCTGCAGCAGGAAAGACATGTTCACTGAGCATATCATACAGCTTTTAACTCACTAAATTTTTCTTAGATTGATAGCTCCTACTTAAATTGGAGGCAGTGTGAGGTGCCAGAAGAATGTAGAAAGTGATTAATCTTTTAATTAATCATCAATTTCAAAACTAATCAGATAATATTTGGAGTGATTCCATTTCTAATATAGATAAGAAATCAGTGGGTAGCATATGGAGTAGGATTTTCTGATAGATGTTTTTACATTTATTTATATCATTCCTTTTATATGTGGAATTTCATTTCTACATATTTTACTCTCCCCTTAAACATAATTTTTGGGGGGTTAATTGTTTTTACTATGGAATTTTCCAAACATCCATACAAAAATATAGAAAGAATGATATAATGAACCTTGATGTATCCATGGCTCAGCTCTAATAGCTAACAACACTTTGCACCTCTGATTTCATCTACCATTTCTGCCTTGGCCCCCTCCCATCCCCTATTCCCACATGCATATTTTCTAGAGTATTTGAAGCAAATATAAGACATCATGTCATTTACCTTGTAAGTACTTTACATGAATTTAAACAATAAAACTTCAAAAAGATATAACCTTACTCAGCAAATAAAAATATCTATTCTAATATCCAATCCATATTCCAATTTCTCCAATGGTCTTTTGGAACTGGCCAATTCAATTAAGAACAATAAAGCTCACCAACCACGTGGTTGCACCTCTACTGGTTAACATACGTTATCCCTCTCTCCTCAGTCATTGGCATTGAATTTGTTGGAGAATCAAAATGTGTATCTTTTAGGTCTTGTGTTCTAGATTTGCATGATCATTTCTTGTTATATTTTTAACTTGTTCCTCTGGTGTCTCTATTTCTATAAGCTGGTGATTAGATGTGCACCTTGATTTGATTAAGGTTCAAGTGTTTTGGATTTTGATCCAACATGGCGGCGGGAAGGGGGCTAGCCGGAAGGTGTCTGCACAGCCAGACCCGCAGATCTCGCCTAGTCAGAATACTACATCTCCAAGTCTTATAGGACCCCTATCGAGCTGCTCTCCGCAGAAATCACAGTGCTGTGACCCCACAGGGGGCCCAGGCCTCAGCCTTCGAGTAGGATGCCTGGCATTGGAGCAGGACTCAAAGCCCAAAGTTCCAATCTATGCAAGACTCAGGGAGTACCTTAGCAGAATCACCTATTAACACATCTGAAGACTTCCAAGACTTCACTCCACTCCCATGCAGGTCACTCAGCTGCTACCTACCCACAGCAAAACGCCATCACCAGGCTCCCTCCACCTCACCAGGCTCCCTCCACCTCACCAGATACCGGTGCTGAAAGCAGACCACCACCATCTTGACTCAACATTCTTGCCATTTAGCTGGGGGAAGTTCCTAGATTGGATCTCCGGTAGCCAGGTACCAGATTTCTACCCTTTCCCCCTCCCCAGCAGTGGTAACCCAAAACAGTAATAGTTGCCCAACACAGGTGTGCAATGTGACCAGGGAGCTGCCCATGGGACTCCTGGGGTGAGAGTTTCCTAAATTGGGAACAGGTAGGGGAGAGGGAGAGACCAGGAGCTGGGAAATCTCCAGGCAAGAGAGGGAGATTTATTTAGATAATAAAGTACTAGGCGCTTTATTATCAAAATAACCATTCTTCCAAAAGCACTATACAGATTTAATGCAATTCTGATCAAAATTCCAATGGCATTCCTCATAGAAATAGAAAAAGCAATCATGAAATTCATCTGGAAAAATAAGAGACCCAGAATAGTTAAAGCAATTCTTAGCAGGAAGAGCGAAGCAGGTGGCATCACTATTCCAGAACTTAAATTATACTACAGAACAACAGTAACAAAATCAGCATGGTATTGGCACCAAAACAGACTGGTAGACCAATGGTACAGAATAGAGGACACAGAGACTAACCCACAAAATTACAATTATCTTATATTAGACAAAGGTGCCAAAAACATGCACTGGAGAAAAGATAGCCTCTTCAACAAAATATGCTGGGAAAACTGGAAATCCACATGCAACAAAATGAAATTAAACCTC